TACTGAGACGTTCCTCTGGAAATAACTCTTCTTTAGAGGACAATATGATAATAGTCATACTTGTTTCAAGGAAATACTGGTTAAAATGGATGAACTCTTATTTTCCTATCACTATGCTTTCCACTTAGAGGCTTACCTGAAACTAGAAGTTTTTCATTCTACTCACAGATAAAAAGAAATCCAGGCCATTCTTTCCACATCAGGCATTTGCTGTCACTACAGTGATCTTACTTATGATTGGCATGGATTTTGCCCCAAACATTAGGCTCTGCATTGAGCTGTGCTCAGTACAGTTTATTGTTCTTGTCAGGGCCATTACCAAGTTTGTGTGTCCCCAGGAGATGGCATATGGAAGCAGCTCCAAGCATAGTAGCAGTAATAACAATAATAATAATAATAATAATAATAATAATAATAATAATAATGATATTAATGTAGAACACAATTTACAGTGGATCACTGAAACTGTAGATTTAGCTGTGGTGTCTCAGGATGAAGTCTTTAGGGGCAATACCGGCTTATGGTACTGATATTTGTCTTCTGTTCTCTTCCTGCCCCAGCATTAACATGTTCTACTGTTCTAGAAAAATTGTTTATGTGCCACGTGGGTCACTACACCGGAGATCTGATCTCCCTTAAAACTGATCCAGAAGAAAACCCAGTTTTTTGCGGGGAGTGTTTTTTTGTTGTCAAAAACAACAGCTCTGTTTCCAAGTGCAGCTGCATAAATAGTCAGGCTGGTACAACTGCAGGGGTGGGATACCACAGAAACCAGCAGCAGGTGGCAAGGGAGGTCAGTATTGCTGCCACACACTCTGCCTTGGGATACACAGCCTCGAGTCTAGTCAGCAGTTCATAGGTATAATTCACTTTGCCCCAAGCTAAGTGTACTGGCAGCAAGGAATTCAGGACACACTGCAAAACCCCCTGGGAAACCCAGGGAAATTTGCAACTGGCCTGCTTGCACTACCTGCCATGCCACGCTCACAACTTTGGATGAACTATAGACATTCCCTTGAAAAATTGTGTCTTTAACTTGAGGGGAAAAACATTTATGCTTTCCAGACTACAGGTCTGCAGTCTTAATCACTCACCATCCTGCAGCCACGGGAAGCAGAGGTGAAGAAAATGCCAAACTCAGGTGGGCAGTAGCTGCTGAAAGGAAAAAGGATCATTTGAGGAAAGAGTTGCTGAAAACATTCCCTCATTAATCTAAAACACTGCATAAAGCATAAACCAGTGAGAGAAAGCCTTGGGGTAAAATACCCTATAATCACAAACATACTCACATGATTCCTGACAGTAGAGAATACACAACACCTGAGTCCCATGTGACAGAATCAACTGTATTTGGAAATCTTTATTTAGAAAACTAAGCAATCTGGCAAGATTTCAACACAGACTTCCTAAAAGCTAATGCTGCAAAACAAAAGCCAGCCCTGCAAGTGTAATTTTACTTGATTATCACATTAGCCATAAAAAAAAGAAAGTCTGTTCGTTGCTGCTTGACCTAAAATTCTTTGAAGAGTAAAATTCAGGCTGTGATTATCATGAGCAGGAAGGACTGGAGTGCCATCCAACGGTGAGACAGTCTTTAGCAGCTTTGACTTAAGGATTTCTCCCTCTACCTGCTCCTGCCACAGCATGACATTAAACCTCCTGTAAAACCATGAAGACTGAAAAAGGTCCACCAGCAGAAGGTGCAGAGGCACACACATACACTACCCACTTCCCCCAGGGCACATCATCACCCATGGCTGAAATGTCCATGCACAGGTAACAGGTATATCCCTTCCTTCCTTTGCACATACAGGTACAACAGATGATTTCCTAATGTTAATTTAGTGCCAAAAAATTTATTCTTCCTCTCCGTTAACATAGGCAGCAGAATTTGGGTATCCTGGTCCTGCTAACAGCATTCAGGTTATCCCATCCCATCCCATCCCATCCCATTCCAGGACTTCTGCTTCCTAATAGCTACAGGACAAGCCTGGCAGCTGACAGAGCAGTCACATATCCTGCCTCTCCACAGTGTGGTTTGTCTATCTGCAACTTTCTTCGTGGAGTTCCTTTGAAGTGCAGAAGATGAAGAGAGGATAGGAAATGTATGATTGAGTTGTGACAAACACCTGCCTTTTTTATGAAGTGGAAATAGGTAACAAGATCTGACCCTTTCCTTTGGATTCTCATTTTCTTTTCCAGTGCCAGGTCAGAATGGATAATTTGACAACAAAAAACTCTGAATCACGCTACACTGGGATGAAAAAGCAATGTGCCTCAAGTTACACAGGTTGGAATTATTTTGGGGAGGGACTGCCTTTCTTGGTAAAGTGCAAGAAGAGTTGTGTCCTGAGACCATGGAACGTTTTCATTTACCTAATCCTCCATTATTATGAGGATCTAAGTCACCAGTAATACTTTTAATCTCTTCTGTGGTTTTTTTTTTCATGCAATACTTTGCAGATTTTGCAACTTCTAGCATTTTGAAAGGTAGATCATAAATTTCACAGAGGCTGTTAGGAAATATTTTGCTTCTCTGCATCTGTGTGGAGGCACCATTTGAGGATTAAATATGTTAAAGGGTTGAACATGTTTGTAGGGCACAGGTGTCTGATCCAAGTGGCCCCTTTCAGCCCATATTCTTGACTGGAATATATTTAAGACCTTTGATTCTACTGGGACAGGCATCCAAAAGCGCAGAGCCTGTCAAGTCCCACTCAGCATTAGTGTAAATGGGTATTGCCCCTTTTGGCTTCATCTGGAATTCTAAATCCAGAGATTAATCTACCCTCTTTTCATTGCAAGCCAGGACTGGAAATATCATGAAAACAGACCTTCTCATAACAATTCCTATTACCTACGCTATTCTATCCCAGTCATCACTGGACTGTGTTGTAAGATGTTTTTTTTCCATTTGTACTTGTTTATAATAAAAAGGAAATACTTTAGAAGTCACTTTCAAAACAAGCCAAACTGTGCCAGGGTCAATTTTCCCTGCAGAAGCATTTTAAACTGAAATATTTTGCCAGTGGGAAAATACACCTTCACAATGAGGGATGGAAAGAAATGGTGTAAAAACTTAAATGGTTCAACTCTTCATAACTCTCCACTGACAGTTATAGCAGTTTTAAGACTCTGTACTGAAGGAAAATAAAACAGAACTTTAATTAATCCTGAATTAAATGGATCAAGGATGGTCTTTTCATCCTGCTTTCAAGCAGAGCCTAATTTGGGCAGGAACAGTCTGTGCCTGACAATATCCACGCATGATCCTATAGCATTGCTGCCACGATACTTTTGTGCTAAATATTTTTCATAAAGTGAAAAGTGATTTCCATGGCTTCCACACAGGAGACATCGATTGCTCTAGGACCAGTTTGGGAGCCGAGGAATGAGAACTTTCGACCTGTGGCAGCGAACCTGCAGCCTCCTGCAAGTACATCTGCCCACAGGTTAGACGCCTCAGCTACTCAGATCCTAAATTTCTGCCTCGTCCCCGGAGAATCAGAGGCACTGCAAGGAATCATGCAGGATTGGGATATAATTATCACTACAGAAAACAGGTGGTGTCGAAGAGGGAGACGTTTGACAGCATGAGCAGCTCTGCCCCTACCCACCTGCCTGCAGCAACGCAGCCTCGGGAGGCACCGACGGCGAGCACGGTGTGGGTGTTCCCTCAGCTCCACACAGCACTCACGATGGAGGAGTGACACCAAGCGGCTCCTCTCAACGCTGCGGACGTTCCGTGCTGCTCCAGGTGATGTTCTGTCTGGGCTCTCTTCGCCAGAGCTCCTCGGTGGGCAGGCAAAGCGGCTCCGGTGAGCGGAGAGGGACCCGCTCAGCCCTCACAAACCACCAGGGACCCCTCCAGCCCTCACACACCCTGATGGACCCTCACGGAGGACCCCTCCAGCCCCCACACTGAGGGACCCCCTCAGCCCTCACACATCCTGACGGACCCCTCAGCCCCCACACTGAGGGGCCCCCTCAGCCCCCACACGCCCTGAAGGTACCACATGCATGATGTCCCCCTCCAATCTGCTGAACCCCAGCCTAGTGTTCAGCCCAGTCTGATCTCCAAGGTGTTGCATCTCCTCTTCATTGCTCTTATCTACCCTCACCTCCCACCTCAGGCTTGATCCCGCTGAATCCCACTACCAGAACGTCCCAGTTGTGCTCCCCTCAAGGATGCTGCTGCTCTCCTGCTGATCAAGCAACGAAAGGTCCAGCAAAGCAGGTCACCCCCATGCTGGCCCCTTCCCCAGCCATCCATGAATACCCCAATTCCCTCTCTAGGACTGGATCTCTGAAGATTGTGGGCACACGATTACACCCGAGTGTGTCCACGAAGCTGGGGAAGGGTCTAGATGGTAAGTCCTGCGAGGAGTGTCTGAGGGGGCTGGAGGGGCTCAGCCTGGAGAAAAGGAGGCTCAGGGGGGACCTTCTCACTCTCCCCAAATCCCTGACAGGAGGGGGGAGCAGGGGGGGTCGGGCTCTGCTCCAAGGGAACAAGGGACAGGATGAGAGGAAACGGCCTCAAGCTGCACCAGGGGGGGTTCAGGTTGGACATCAGGAGGAATTTCTTCCTGGAAAGGGTGTTCAGGTATTGGAAGGGGCTGCCCAGAGAGGTGGTGGAGTGTCCTGGAGGACATCCTGGAGGTGTGCAAGGAACACCTGGACATGGCACTCAGTGCTCTGGGCTGGGTGACAAGGTTAGACTCGGTGATCCTGGAGGTCTTTTCCAACCTCAGTGATTTTGGGATTCTGGGACTTGACATATATTGGTATCTAACTGCATATTGTGAGGGTCTCAGTTTTTTAGCCCTGGATGTCATTGCATGTAAAAGCAAAGCCAGACTTCCACAGCATATGCAGCAATTCGCAGTGCTTTTTCCGACATGGGAGTCACAATGCGTGTCACTGCTGCAAATGGTTTCTAACTTCTCTTATACAAACATATATATGTAAAAGTAAATATTTATAATGTAGTCTATCCCCTCTAAAATTTCCAGTTGTTTAATAAAATCATTCATTGAACCAGACTGACACATTTAAAGTGTTACCAGTCACAGGTATTGCCCCTGTGATGGACAGAAATTTATGAAGAATGTAAGGTGCACTCTGATTTTCTGGGTTACTCTGTGAAATCTGTGATATTCAGCTGAGTATCAATTTATTTGGGGCAATATCAGTTTTTCTCATTCAAGGCATTTTTTTCTGTGACAAGAGTACACACTGAGCAGAATGTATTGCTGATGAATCATCGACTGAAAAACCTGTATTGATTTTATCTATCAAGTCCAGTCAGGTGACAAAAGCATAAAAGATTGTGTGTTAGTTTCCTTTATATGATGCAGTAATTCAGTTCCATTTAACTGTAGCATCACAACTCTGACCTCTTCTATGTAGGATCAGGTTTATGCTTGCACAGAAAGTGGCCATCCACAGGAACTCCTCTTTGGTGACATGAGAAGGAGCCATCTCTCGGTGTGGAATCACTGAAACACAGCAAGACTCGCCGTGTACGTTCATAATTTGTGACCCTGAAATGACAGGGAAAGGAAAAAGCAGCAAAGTGGTTTAAATTCGTGTCAGCAACACTGACGCACCTGATATGTTGGAAACTCCACCATGCTGTGCTTAGGGCTTTTAGAATTGAATTCTCTCATGAAAAGTGTCGATACTACAAATCCACTTTCACCACCTTATTTTGGGTCAGCATTCCTGCTGCAGTGTGGCATTAACTGTGTGCTCCAAAAGGCAGTTCCAAACAGCCGTGGAACAAACAGAAGCTGTCTGACATAAGGAGTAAAATTCCTCGCTTTGGAAACAAATTATGCTCTACCATCGTACTTGGATAACTATGTCCATATGATTGGAACATCTGGACTTGAAATTCAGGATTAAGGACATTGGCTCTCTGAGATGTGTAGGCTACATTCACTGGGAAATAAATGCCCTTATGAAAAAGATGGGGTAGAATGACACATTTGCCTCCTGGGATAGAACTATAGCACCTGGATATTAATGGTCATTTCAGAATAAGAATCCAAGAGGCAAGGATAGGCGATCAAATGCCAACAGAGCTTGTGGCATTCCTTTCAATTAAAGGGTATGGGCCAACAGGCAGAAATACATTTCATTCTGCAGACTGTGTAAGAGCGAAAAATCTCTCCATCTGACTGCAGCAAGAGAGAATGTCTTCCAATCTCACGTGGAGTCCCACCCAAGCGCTCTGCACCGCCAGGTCAGGCACTGCCCGTTCCCTGACGGCCCTTCCTCTGCAACCAAACGGCCGCAGGAGAACTTGGAAAGAATCCCGACCCTCCTGCCGCCTCTTGAACACACGACTCGAGCCCTTCCCCACGGCTCAGACACCAGAGGGGGGGCCCGGCCTGGGGCCCGAATGGCTCCGATCCGCTACGTCCTCGCCGCCGCCTCCAACCTGCGGCCCATCGTCCGGGCCGGGCCCGCCCCACCCGGGGCTCGGGGGCGGCGCTGGGGCTCCGGGGGAAAGGCGCTGCTGCCGGAGCCCCCCGGCCCGCGGGGCGGGCGCTGCTCCGGCCCCACCGCCCCGGACGTCGCGTCGGCGGGGCGGGTGCGCAGTTCCGGCGGCGGAGCGAGGGCGGGGGCCGGGCAGAGCCGCCGCGGCCTCGGCAGCAGCTGCAGCCGGAGCTGCCGGAGCGGCGCGGGGGGCCAGGCCCCCGCCATGGAGATCGAGAAGGAGTTCCAGCGGCTCGACCAGGCCGCCAGCTGGGCCGCCATCTACCAGGTGAGGGGCAGCGCCCGGCCGGCCGGCTCTGCCCCGCGCCGAGCGGGAGCGCTCCCGCACGCTCTGCCCGGTGCCACCGGTGCTGCCCCGGCCCCGGGGGCTGGCCCTGCCCTGCCCTGCCCTGCCCTGCCCTGCCCAGCCCGGCAGGGACCCTGCCCCGCTCAGCCCTCGCCGGGGGGCACGGGAGGCCCCTCCGTTCCCCTCGGGAGCGCCCCTGCCCCGCGGGCACTGCCCCGCTCCCCGGGACCCCCGGCCGGGCGGGCAGCGCGGGCAGCGCGGGGCGGGAGCGGGAGGAGCTGCCCCGGCCGGATCCTCGGCCGTGATACGGGCTCGTCCAGGCGCCACTGGGAGTCCAGCACGGACATCAGTCCTCAGCAGCCTCTTCAAACTGCGCCTTCCGAGCCGCGGGGGAGGGAGCCTGTCGGATTTGCCTTTTGTTTTGGAACAGAAAAGCGGTGATGGGCAGCATCGCATGCACCGAGCTTTGCAGTCACCTTAATCGTAGAACAGAGCCTAAAACAGCATGTTGGTAGCACTCGTGCAATGAGCTGGTACTGTTTTTTTGTTATGTCTTTTATTGCATGTAGATTTTTCGTGACATTTTAAAACACCTGCATAGCAAAAGTGAACGCTTTGCAGGGTTTTTTGGCTGCTAGGTCCAGTTTCACATACACAAGCCACAGAAATTAGTGCTTTTATCTTTAAAAGTTCTTCACCTGTTTATCTAAAATGAAGTTTAAGAGAAGGTGAAGTATATGAATGGCTGGGCGGATGTGTTCAGTCAGATTGGGCAGCATTATTGAAACATCCATTTGAATGTTTAGGCTGGTATATTGCATAAATTAATGAGTTGAAGTTCACATTTGCAACAAAGAAGTTGAGCTGTGCTTTCTTTCAGTATGAATTTCTCTGGCGATAGACCTCTAAAAGAAGGAGTGAAGTTGTATAAAAGTGAAATAAATGGACTCGCATTTCAAAATCGCAGCAGGCAAGTTTTAACCGTAATGGCTTGCAGGATGAACGTCTTCAGCTGTTTGACATTTAGAGAATAAGCATGAAATGTTGAGCATGCTTTTCAGAAGGTCCCTTTTTTATGTTTCCTTCCCTGCAGAGTGTCTGTGCTTTGCTGACTGTATCAGTTGAAAGTCATGTGGATATATGACGTTATGTTTTTGCTGAACTGTTCTGGACGATTTGGTGTGTTGCAGGCTTAGTACTCAGGAAATGATTTTGAGTGATAGAGCTTTGTAATGCAATAGGTCTAATTCTACAGGTACAATTTAATTACAGAAGTGAAGTATCTAAAGAGAATGAGGGAATGGCCCATTTTCAATGAAGGATCAGCATTCAGTGATATTTTTGTCCTACTCTCTTTGAATGATGTGACTCAGTAGCTTGCCTAAAGTGTGGCACAGCATGAGCTTTGGTTCAGGATTGAAATTCAATTAAAAAAAATAAAAGGACTAAAGTGATTCTTTGATTTGCATCCAACTATTGATATGTACAGTGGGTGGGGTTTTTACTTTTTTTTTTCCCCTAACATCGATTAGTAAATATGTGCATCTATGTCATGAAATTCAGTTTCTCAGCTGTATCCTGCTTTTAAATCAGCTGTTGAAAATGACATCTTGGCAGGTCATGTACATCTGGAAGAACAATGTGCTTCTCTATAATCTGTGCTTTTGACATCTGGGCTGTGACATTAACAAAGCAGTTTTCCTACAAATACCAGGCTTTGCCTGAAAAATGCAGTAAGTAGAATAATGTACGTTGTTGGTGCAGAAAAAAAAGCCTTCCCCCCAAGTTCATTGTACCACAGGTTTCTGGTAGCTGGTGTTACGATTGTAGCTGCTGAAATCCAGAAATGTTCACCACTAATCCAAGTGAACATAATGCAATTTGCCAACAGGCCCTTCTTCTTGCTCTTGGCTAAATCTGTTATCTAGAGATACAGAGCTGCACAGCGTCTGGAGGAGGAGTTAGGAATACTACAGGGAGGTGAAGCTAATTAAAGGTATGGCTACAAGGGGACTTGTCCGGGTGCCACGTGACTTAGAAGGGTTAAAATTGTCCAGGCTGCTTTTTTTCTTGGATGAGCGGAAGCTGTGTTCGGCTGTGATAGTACAGTTGTGACAGAATAAAATTTAGATTACTTTTTTTTTTTTTTTTTTTTTCCCCAGCAGAAATAATCACAGGATGGGGACACAGACATTTCAAAATTAAGACCTCGTGTGGGTGATTTTGTGAGGGCGTGACTTGGGTACCACATATGTCGTGGAACATTCTCCACTACAACTGGTCAGAACAGGGTGAACACTGATGAAGTTCTTTGAGTTTTGTTGGTTTTGATTTTAGTTTTGGGGTGGGGTTTTTTTGTTTGTTTTTTAATACCCATTCTTGTCCCTTTATTTTCTTCTAGATTTACTTGCTACAAGAACTGTGAGCCATGAGATCCTGTGAGGGTTGTTCAGGGATCTAAGTGATAAAAAGAACTGCTCAGGCTCTGGCTGTTGCTTGTATTTTAGAGAAACATACTTAGAAGATAACTAATAAGACGTGACCTAAGCATAAGAAAGGCCCATTCAAATTCAAATCCTTTCCTATAAAACAGTAAGTTAAAGGAACGTGATTAAACGTGAGCTCTGCCGTGTCCTCACTGTGCTAAAGGTGTGCAACAGAAAACAAATGCTTAAGGGTAAGTGAATGATACATATCCTGCATAAATATCATTAGAACTATCTATTGGAATGAAAAGCATTCACTCTGGAGATGTCACAACAAAAAACCCGTAGCCCAAAGCTAAGAAAAACACAGTTTAGGCTTGCTGTTAGAGCAGGTGAGAAAAAGGTAGATATTTGTCCAGAATATCAAAGCGACATTTGATTTTCATTTACTCACTGTGAGTGCAATGCCACATTTTCACAGTAATTTTATATGCAGAAGTCTTTTGGAACTTTAGGAGGCATTTTAGTTTCTAACTTCTCACACAGCGTGATAGAACGAGATATTATCTTAAAAACACAACCCTCTAATACAGGTAGGGTTGCTTCTTGTGTTTATATAAACTGAGTATGTTGACTTTAGTATGTTGGCCAGTGAGATTAATGTTGATGTGCTTATCAGGAACAGTAAAAATACCTCGGAATTATATACCATTCAACTGGGATTCCATGCACTATGGACAGAGGCAGAGCTGACATTTGGGGACAGCTCATGCAGAGTTTTCCATATGAAGGTGGCAAAATGAAACTAAATGGTGCACTCTTTTCTAATTTTTATAGTTAGTAGAATATAAAGTAAGAAAGAACTGGGCATAGTCTTAATTTTCAAATGTATCTGTAAGTGAGTATCCTGAAAACAACTAACTATGCTGCTGTGAACTCTGGAAAGCTGAAGTGTAGTTAAGAGTTGGGTTTGAGCCCTGTAAGAGGCACATAATTGTTCTAAGTTTATTAATTTTTGAGGGTATTTTAAATATTAATGTGATTGTCAGTTTTTCCAACCCCCTCTCCAGGCTAAACTAAAATACTCCACATTATGAAAATGAATAAGCTTTACTCAGATGATGGGAGGAAGATAGAATGGTATTGTGGACATTTGGATCTCTCTCTGTGAAGAGAGAAAAGGCGTGGGAAGTTTTTCACGTATTTACTGTCTCTGGGAAATATTTGTAGAATATGTAGATAGGTTTTGATGCTGAAAGTAAACTGTGAAATGGTTGACCCTGTAGGTTTGTAGTAGTGTGGTTGTGTTGTGTATTTAAAGTCAGTGAACAGGAAGTCCTACAAGTGTTTTCGGTTTAGGAGCTGCAGGAGGGTTCAGATGTTGTGCTGCTGCATTTGGGTTACTGCTTTGCTCTGGTGCTGAGCAGCAGATAAACTGAGGCATGAGCATGACTTATTATAAATGCATCTTTGGGCTTTATTCTGCCAGTTCTTGCTGCTGCAGAGTGCAGGTCTCTGCATGCAGTGCCTTGCCACTGCCTAATTCGTGCTCTGTTGATTCATCCGAGGCTTAGTGTAATTGGCTCCGGTTATGGAAAACTGGTTTACAACTGAGAGTTGCAGGGAGTCTCTTTTCCTTCAGTAAGCTAGACATATTCCATGTTTTTCAGGCTGTGCAGCCACTGAATCTTGATACATGTGTGGAGGGGCAAACAGGGATGGAGTAGCAGAGTCTCCATGGCTCCCAGAGTCATTATCCTCCCCTGAAAACCAGAGTTTCTGTTGAATCGCTGGTCATGGTACATTTTGTGCTGTTAAAACTGGTTCAGAGAACTGTTACATTCTTCCTAGTGACTTTTTCAGGTCAAGATCAATTGTGTCTACTGCTGGCAAATGTGACTTTGGGAGAGTCCTCTTATGTGGAGCTCCTGAGCTGCTTAGTTTTGCTTGGTTTTCAGAATCTGAAATCTAAGTACTTGAACCCAAATCTTCTGTGATAGCATGCTGAAAGTAGAACACAGAAAAATGTTTTGGTTACCATTTGCTAAAAACCTAGGAACGGTACAACGTGCACACAGTGCTCCACTTGCTCCTGAGCATATTCAGAAGGGTTCTGTGGCGTTGGTGTGTTCTTCCACATGGTACTTACTCCTTCTTCTCTGGGTGCTCGAAGGATAGATGTATAGAAGAAAACTTAAGGAGAAAGCAGTGTTGGCCACATGCCAAATACCCTTAAATTCAA